TTTTTGTTTGAGATGGAGTTTCACTCTTGTTGCCCAGGCTGGAGTGCAATAGTACAATCTTGGCTCACTGCAACCTCCGCTTCCCAGGTTCAAGTGGTTATTCTGCCTAAGCCTCCCGAGTAGCTGGGATTACAGGTGCACATCACCACGCCCGACTAATTTTTGTATTTTTAGTAGAGACGGTTTCACCATGTTGCCCAGGCTGGTCTCAAACTCCTGACTTCAAGTGATCCACCTGCCACGGCCTCCCAAAGTGCTGGGATTACAGGCATGAGCCACCACACTCAGCCAGGAATTACTCTAAATTAGGCTTGAGAGACTAGAACTTGGTGATGTCGTCATTCCCTGTAACAGTGACTACAGAAGGAAGTACACTCATGTGGGTTGTCTGGTTGCAAGTATCAAAGTGACAAAATTAAGCAATAAAGGATATGTTAGGGTTGGGCATGGTAGTTCACACCTGTAATCCCAGCTCTGGGAAGCAGGGGCCGGAGGATCGCTTGAGTTCAGGAGTTCAAGTCCAGCCTGGGTAACATAGTGAGATCCTATTTCTACAAAAAATTAGTCAGGCCTGGTGGCATGTACCTGTGGTCCCAGCTAGTTGGGAGGCTGAGGTGGGAGGATCGCTTGAGCCTGGAAGGCAGGGGTTGCAGTGAGCTGTGATTGCACCACTGCACTCCAGCCTAGGCAACAGAGCGAGACTCTGTCTGGAAAAAAAAGGATATGTTGGGGCCAGTTGCAGTGGCTCATGCCTGTAATCCCAGCACTTTGGGAGGCTGAGGTGGGCAGATCGCTTCAGAGCTCCTGGCAGAGCTCAGGAGTTTGAGACCAGCCTGGGCAACACAATGAAACCCCATCTCTACCAAAAAACACAAAAAGTAGCTGGGCATGGCCTTGTGTGCCTGTAGTCACAGCTGCTCTGGAGGCTGAGGCAGTGAGAATCGCTTGAACCCCAGAGGCAGAGGTTGCAGTGAGCCGAGATTGCACCACTGCACTCCAGCCTGGGCAACAGAGTGAGACCCTGTCTCAAAAAAAAAAAAAAAAAAAAAAAGAATATGTTGGAAGGATATCAGGCAGCTCATAGAGGCAAAAGAATCAGGGTACAGGAAGGACAAGAACCAGCACCAGGATATCTGCAGCAGGAATGTCAGGAATGTGTGGACAGCCCCTCCAGCAGCTGCCACCTTCTGCCACTGTGTCGTCTCTAGATCCACATTCCCTAGAGAAAGAATCTAACTGGCCCAATTTGCATGATGTGTCCATCCTATGGCCAGGGAAATGGCGACCTGTGACTGGCACTATTACCAGACTTCTTAGTGCCTATGAGGGGACGAAGACCAGTGATAGGAGGGGATCATAATGAGGAGGGTGAATTATTTTTTTCTTTTTGAGACAGTCTTGCTCTGTTGCCCAGGCTGGAGTGCAGTGGCACTATCTCAGCTCACTGCAACCTCCGCCTCCCAGGTTCAAGCAATTCTCCTGCCTCATCTTCCCGAGTAGCTGGATTACAGGCACCTGCCACCATACCTGGCTAATTTTTGTATTTTTTGTAGAGATGGGGTTTCACCATGATGGCCAGATTGATGTTACTCTTTAAAAAGCATTATCTTTGCTTTGGGAGGCCAAGGCTTGAGGATTCCTTAGCCCGAGTTCAAGGTCAGCCTGGGTGACAAAGCAAGACCCCATCTCCACAAAAAATAAAAAATTATCTGGGCATGGTAGCACATGCCTGTAGCCCCAGCCACTCCAGAAGCTGAGGCAGGAGGATATCTTGAGCCCAAATCAAGGCTGCAGTGGTCTTTCATCACACCATTGCACTACAGCCTGGGCAACAGAGTAAGACCCAGTCTCAAAAAAAAAAAAAAAGGATCATCTTCAAAGGATCTCTACTGTGTACAGCAGTAATGGAAGAGAAGCTTGCATGTCCCGAGAGGAGAGTTGTTTTTCAAATGATAAAAGCCCTACTGCCTGTCCCTTTTCATAGCTCTCCTAAAAGGTGTTCCACTCCTTTGGCATTCAGAATCACTGCTGGGAGAGTTACAGGGAAAGTGCTGGCAACAGAGGCCCCTAGCTGCACAAGGCCCTCAACCCTTTTCTCTCCAGGGCTTTCCCTCCTCTCCTCAGGAGACTGGTCCTCTTTGGCATGTGCCAGAGACTTCTGGGGACTTACAGTCTGGTGGGGCAGACAAGCAGTAACTGCTGCAATAGAGGCACACCTGAAGTGAAAAATTTTGCTCAATTTTGAGATTGGCACTTTGTTTGCATATGGCCCTACTGAAGGCTCCAAGTAGGCAGAGGAAAGGGCCAGTATGCTTACCTAGGGTGGACAGGGCCATTTGGGGAACAGCTTGTTTACCCTGACTGACAAAATGGTAGTGTTGTCCAGGGGAAAACTGCCATCCTGGCAGCAGCACAAGATGGGGCTGAAGGCCAATAAAACTGGGTGGAGATGAATGTCTCCTGTCCCCTCCCCTGAGGCCCCTTGAAGTCTGTTGACAAAAGGATAGCTGTTGCAGTTTCTGAGGTTTAGCATTTAATCCTTGGAGAACACTGGTAGTTCACCACCACAAGGCTTCGTTAATCATCTATCTGTATGCCTCTCTATATAGAATTAATTGCAAGAGCATCCTCCAGTCCCTGCCCTCCAGCAGTTTGAAGGACATACTGACAGATTAGGTAAGACATGCAGAGAACTTGAGACATGGCATCCAGATAGAGAGCACACACCAAAGAGCATAATACGCACACTGCTTACAATAGTCTTTATTTTACACCAGACTGGATGCTGAGCATGTGCATATTGGATCCTGTTTTTCTGTATGTTTACACTTCCTAAATGAGGTATGTTGGCCAGGCTCAGTGGCTCACGCCTGCAGTCCCAGCACTTTGGGAGGCTGAGGTGGGCGGATCACTTGAGGTCAGGAGTTTGAACCTGGCCAACAAGATAAACCTTGTCTCTACTGAAAATACAAAAACTAGCCAGGCGTGGTGGTGCACAGCTGTAATCACAGCTACTCTGGAGGCTAAGGCAGGAGAATTGCCTGAACCCAGGAGGTGGAGGTTGCAGTGAGCCGAAATCACACCACTGCATTCCAGCCTGGACGACAGAGGGAGACTCCATCTCAAAAAATAATATAAAATGAAGTATGTGACTACATTTAAAAAAATCATGTATCAGGCTGAGCATGATGGCTCACACCTGTAATCCCAGCACTTTGGGAGGTGGAGGCAGGTGGATTGCCTGAGGTCAGGAGTTCGACACCAGCTTGGCCAACATGGAAAAACCCCATCTCTACTAAAAATACAAAAAATTATCCACCTGTAATTCCAACTACTTAGGAGGCTGAGGCAAGAGAATCACTTGAACCCGGGAGGCGGAGGTTGTAGTGAGCCAAGATCACACTATTGCACTCCAGTCTGGGTGACAGAGCAAGACCCTGTCAAAAAAAACAAA